AAGAACAATTTATATTTTATAAGTAAGTAAATTTACTTATGTTCTAAAATAAATTAGAGAGGATATTGTGCAACCGAGTGAAATACAAAAAGTACAACTTGCTTCACAGCAACTAACATTTAGCTTTTGGCAACATTGCACAACATCTTCGATCTTTCGCTAAAATCAGGCATTGTCCTGGATAAACTAAAAATTGCTTGAGTCACCCCTATTTTTAAATCTGGAGATGATTTTGATACTAATAATTATAGACCTATATTAGCTTTACCGTTTTTTTCCAAATTACTAGAACGCGTCATTTATAATAGACTTTACAATTATTTGACGGAAAACAATTTTTTATACGGTAAGAAACTTGGATTTAAAAAAAAACACCCAACCGATCATGCTATAATTGAGCTAGTTAATCAAATATCTAATGCTTTTAGTAATGACTGCTTTACGCTGGGAGTTTTTATTGATCTTTCTAAAGCTTTTGATACCATAAATCACGACATTCTTTTAAAAAAACTCGAAGTGTATGGAGTAAAAATTAATAACTTACTTTGGTTTAAAGATTATTTATCAAATTGAAAGCAATATATTCAGCATGAAACAACAAAAACAACAAATAGCGCCATAACTTGCGGGGTTCCTCAAGATTTGATCTTGGGACCATTATTATTTTTACTCTATATAAATGATTTATATTCAACATCAAACTTATTAAATTTAATCTTGTTTGCGGATGACTCCAATTTGTTTTATTCGCATAGAGACATTAGGACACTTTTTAACATAGTTAACAAAGAATTACATAAAATAAACGAGTGGTTTATTTTATGTCCATCCTATTTTATAAACCAAATAAAAACGAAAATGTTCCTCTTAAACTACCTGATCTTAAAATAAATAATACTAATATGAAAAGAGAAAATTTTATAGACTTTCTAGGTGTGGTCTTGGATGAAAATTTGTCGTGGAAGCTCCATATAAACATTAGAGAGAAAGCTCTCAAGAAATATTTCATTAATGTATAAAACAAAATCTTTCCTAAATATCATTTCCTTAAGAAGTTTATACTTTTCATTAATACATAGTCATCTAAGCTATGGTAACATAACCTGGGCAAGCACAAATTGTACTAAGCTTAAAAAACTCTACAGTAAACAAAAACATGCCTGTAGAATTGTCTTCGGAGTAAGTAAAAAAGCGTCTAGTGAACCTCTCTTATGCAAACTTGGAGCATTGAATATATACAAAATTAACATACATCTTGTTTTACAGTTTATGTACAAAATAAAAAATGGACTATCTCCGCCAATATTTCAACCCTATTCTAGCGAAATAAGTCATAAATACCCTACTAGATTCTCATATAACAACTTTGTCATCCTAAAATTTACATTAAAGTTAAATTCATACTCAATCCAACACCGCGGACCTTATTTGTGGAAAATTTCCCCCAGATTGTTACTATCAAAAGAAATACACTTGAACAGTTCAAATCTGAATCAAAGCGTTTTTTATTATCTACGGACTTAAATTTTGTTTTTCTTTTTTAGTAAAAAAATTAAATAGCACAACTTATTTCATTTATTTGTTTTAACTTTTACTTGTTCTAAATTTATTTTACTAAACGAATTTATATATAAACAGTTATATCAATTGTAAAACGTAGTTTTTCACATTTTTACATATTTTATAACAAACAATTTATCACAATTTTATATACTTTGTTGTAAAAAACAACTTGTAATGAAGTCACTATGGCGCTCGGTGATAAGACAAACTGATGTCTTCTTCTTGCTCCAGCCATTTGTTTTTTTATTTATGTTATTTTATAAATTGTAACTTTCTACGGCAAAAAATTAAATAAATAAATAAAAATAAATAAAAGAACTTTTTTACATACAATAAGTAAATTCTTTTTCAACGTAAGTAAATTACTTTTTAAGGACTTACCGTAAAAACCCCTAATTACGGATGTAACCTAATCCCGGATGGTTTTTGTAGAAAGTTTCATAAGTCTCTTAATATAATGATTTTATGAATAATTTTTTTTAATTAATAAACGGCTTACCCAACAAATCGAAAAATATAAAAAAAAATATTATATAAACTAATGCAATCATGAAAGATTTCAATTTGAAATCTCTCATAACTAATAAAATAAAAAAAAGGAAAAAAAAAACTTTGACTTGCAGCAGTTAAATTAAAAAAGTCAAAACACTATTTTGTACAGAATTTTATGCTGATTATTTTAGCCAAAAAAAGAGGAAATTACCTTTTGAAATAATTTAAAAAAATGAAAAACAAGTTTGCTACCAGCCAAAAAAAAAAAGATGTTTTTGTTTACTGTATAAAAACAAGTTTGCTACCAGCCGGAAAAAAAAAAATTATTATTTTATGTACCTAAAAAAATAATAAACAAATTAGCCAGCAGCAATAAAAAAAATACACTTTTGAGACCCGGATACAATTAATTACAATTGGCTATTTTTTTTTTTTATCACTATCATGCACATATTAAAATATATTAGGTTCATTAAAGTAATAAAAAATAAAATAGCCTCAAGGGAAAAAATAATTGACACTAATCCAGATACAGCTATTTTTTGTAACATCCATAAAGTTAACGCATTTGTGTTAATTGTATTACTGTATTAAAGAAAATGGATAATTTTAAACAAAAAGAAGAGCGAGAGAGTCGAATCCAACTAGCTATTCAAGCTATTACTGAAAAAAAAATGTCATACGTACAAGCTCCTAAGTGTTATAATGTGGCAAAATCTACACTTTTTGAGAGAACAAAAGGATCATCTAATAATCGACGAGCGCCAAGAAAGATGAGCAACATCACTAAAGCTATTATTGTTGATTTATTAAAATATATATGTGATATAGGCTTTGGTTTGAATAGAAAACACGTGTTTATTGTTGTTGAAAACTATTTAAAAGAATCAAACCAACGTAGTCTATTCAAAGACGGCAAACCGACTAGAAAATCGTACTCCGGTTTGAACAAATATCGTAAAAACATTTGCCCAAGAAAAGTAAGAGGTATGCAAACTATTAGAGTTGTGGCCACACAACCAGCTATAATTGACAATTAGTCTGAGCAATTAGCAGTATCATAAAATGAACATAATTTTGGCAATAAGCCGTTTCAAATATTTAACTGTGATGAGTTTGGTTTGCAATTTGATCAAGGCAGTGTCAAAATTATTTGAAGAAAAGGAACAAAAAACCCTAAAAGCTAGTACCATCGAATAAAAAGCAAATGACGAAAATCTTGACTTGTTGTGACACATTAGGTAATTTTTTACCTCATCGAATAATTTATAAAGGCAAACAAGCTGTCGAAAACAACAATATTGAAAATTTATTTGATTCTTTAACAGTATCTAGTCCATTAGTTATGGGAAATGCTACCAATACACCTAACACACCGTCAAGAATGTCAAATTGTGAATTTTATCTTAGAAGCTTTGCTACTTTAAATAATGCTGTTCTACAAGTAGGCAAAGATATAAGCAAATCAGTGTTAAATATGCTTCGAGATCAATTGACACCAACTCTAAATAAAAGAGTTTAAAAAAGTGAGAGAATAAAGCGACTAGCTAATTATAATATAACTTCGGCGGATGCCATAGCTTACGATGAAGCTGAACAAGCATCAAAAAAACAAAAAATTAGCTAAACAAGCTGCAAAGAAATTTACTAGAGAACAAAAAAAGATTTCCACTGCTACTCAAAAAGCGAAAAATGCACAGAAAAGAAAAAAAAAAAAAGTTGAGACAAAGTCAGTCGTCTTCAATATCTTGTAAAAAATGTATAAAGACAAAGATTCAATTAGAAGACCCTCATTTTCCTCAAGCTTTAAATAACATTTTAGTATCTGATGATCTTCGATGTTATACTATATTCACTAAAGTGAATATTTTAACTATAATAATTTTTTTAAGCAAATGTTTTTTAATTTTTTTGGTTTTTCAAAAAACGTTTATCAAAGAGTTAATTTTTAATAATGTTTTTTTAATTTCGTTTTTTTCAAAATACTAAATAAGCATTTTAAGGCGTTTTAAAAAACAGCTGCACCATATATTTATAGTTAAAAAATAGTGGAGCAAAAAAAAACTTTTCATTGTCAAAAGAAAGTTTTAAATTTTTTTTAACTACGGGCTTTTTTTTTTTTTTTTTTTTTTTTTTTTTTTTGTCTCCACAGCAGCACCTTCTTGAGTAGCGGGACTTTTTTATTTATTTAATATAGTTTTTTCTTTATTAAGTTTAAGATAACTTTTTTTTCAGACCATCCGTAGCTTATTAGGACAAATTACCTGAGCATATTAACAACACAACTGTCTCAATCATCATACATACGCAACAAATATTTTCTCCCAGTTTTTTTTTTTTTTTTTTTTTTTTTTGTAATGTTTTATAAAGATTTAGCTTTCTTAAAATCTTTTTTTTTTTTGAAAGTGTATAGTATCGTTACGTTACATATGTTTGTATATAATCTTTATAAAACTTCAAATTTTTTGACACTTATTCAAGCGAATATTTTTAAAACAAAGTAATGATTTTTTTTAAACTTTACAAATAAAAACTACTGAGTTTGATGGTCAAAATATCTCCGATTGTAGAATGAGGTGAATTTGAAAAAAATGTAGAGAAATGTTTTGTAACTTTTTGCCTCATTTGGCTTGACTCCTTTATTTAATTTCATTAAGTATTGAGCCACTGCGCAAAATAACCCGTTAACCAAGATGCTAGAGTCAAAGTTTGATGGAAATTTTGTTATTTTCTGTATTGGTAGTTTCGGAAACTTTTAGTTATATTATTAAAATCTGTAAAATAACTTGTATATTATAATCAAAATAAAAGCTGGTTATTATTTATTTAAATACATTTATTGTATTTTATTTTCAATAATTGTTATTTTAATTTTTATTGGATATAAATTTTTTTGTTTTTTTTTTAATTATTCAAGAAATATATTTAAAAAAAGTAACTTACTTAAATTTAAAGAAGTAATAAGAACATTTTGAAGCCGGATGTCTACACTTTTGAAAAAACCTTGTAGTTCATAGCTACAATTATTTCCAACAAAAGAACAGGCCACAATGCGATTATGAAAACCATCTATAAAAATAGAAGTAATATATATATATATATATATATATATATATATATATATATATATATATATATATATATATATATATATATATATATATATATATATATATATATATATATATATATATATATATATATATATATATATATATATATATATATATATATATATATATATATATATATATATACTTATATATATATATATAGTCAATAGAGTAAAAGTAGCACCTAACTGTTACAAAATAAAATATAAAAAGCAAGAATAAAATAAATAATAATGTAACAAAAGAAAAAATATATTAAAGATAAACAAAGAAAATTAACATTAAATTAAAAGAAAAAAAGAAATAAAGCATTAATAAACAACGGTAATATTAATATCTGCGATAAGAACAAAAACTAGTTGTGAAACAACAAAAACCAAATAGTTTTCCAAATAATACCTGTAATAAGATATTTTAAATAAAATTTTAATAAATGTAAAAAATTGTCAAGTAGTTATAATTTACATTATTAATAATAAAAAAAATTCTTAAATTTGCAAATATAATCATTTAAACGTTAAACATTAAACCATAACAGAGATGCTAACCTAGAAATCGGTTTTATATTTGATTTCTATGAAAGATCAATAATGAACAATAAACCATATTACCAAAAAAAATAAAGGCATTAGTAAGTTGGTTGCAATTTATTAATGTAGCGATGTTTTAAATGTTTTGTTAGTTGTTTGCAGTAAATAACTGACTTTTGTTGGAGTTAAAATTTAAAAGCTTCAGCAAGCCCTAGTCTGTTAAACTTTGAGATTACACTCAATATTAATTGTCCCTGTAACAATATTTCAAAGATCAATAATACATATAAAATAACAAAACAGCACCAAGAAACATTGGAGTCTCTCAGAAGTTACTGAAATTAAAAAAGAGTTTGGCCCTCTTTAATGATCTTAATAAAGCATTTAGATAAAAATATTTGATAAAAAAAACAACCTTATCCGGATACATCATATATAATAAGCTTATGAAAAATACCAGCATATCTCATTTTATTATTAGCTATAGATATCTCTAGAACAATAGCTTTAGTCTTGCTGCCTTTATATAATGCACAATAAAATATCTCTGTTACAGAAGAGACCAAGTCAGCCATAGAGTTGAGGATTGAAAATTGCATTTTCTGTCAATAAACTACTTTACCCATTATTGGATGTTATAAACTTAATGATCAAGGAGTTAAAGGTTTTGCTAAGATAAATAATTGAGAGGGCGATAGTGGGAGAGGCAAGAATGCTCCTTAGAGTTATTCAAATCGGAACCACAGATGTCGTTTTCAAGCACTTAGTAAAACAAGATTCACTAAAACATTTATTAAATAGCTTAGTGCGAACTGAAAAGATTTTTAGACAACACTTTTTTATTACAATGACCAGAATGTTTTCTGGACCACAAGGCGTAGATGAGTTTAATTAAAATATGACTTTAGTAAAGGAAACTGACGTAATTCAACTATCTAACAATAGGTTAACATTTTAAGTGAAATGGAAAGAGTTCAAGAGATGGAATAGAAACAATTCATGTGTTTAATAAGATGAAATAATCTTTGCAACCAATTCAGCTCTATCTTTAATTAATAATATTAGAATTCTATATGATGAAAACTTGTCTTATAAAAAAATGTTATATTTATATCCACATAAATGTTAGTATATTACAAAATTTATTTTATAAACTATTGTTGTTTGTTAAATAAACTGCTTTCATTTAGCTATTTTACATTTATGATTAATGTTTTTGCAACAATGTACACAATGTTGCTGAATATGAATAATAATTTTATTACCAAATAAATTTATGATAACCTATGGGTGTTTTGCGGTTTAATTAAGTTAAAATTAATTCTTTTTAGATTAAATTTCTTTCTGAAGCTTAAAAATTAGTATAATTATAAACTTTTGAAAATTTTTTTTTTTAGAAATTTTTAAAAATGCAGTAGTTTAAAAAAATTTTAAATCAATTTATAAAAATTTGAAAGTAAAAACTGTTTCGGTTTTATTTTCAAAATTGCCATGTTATAAAAATATTGAGGTACCGTTTTAGAATTTCAAAAGTGAAAAATTGTTTTGTTGCTATGTTTACATTTTGATGGTTTAAATATGCATTGATAAAATATAGTAATTTAGAGTTAAAAATTTTAGAGTAAAACTAATTTCGATTTAAAACTAAGTAAATAGAAATTTTTTCAAACTTATAAAAACTTAAAATTGAATTTCGAAAACATTTTTAATCAATAATTAAATTTTGCAAATGTAAACAACGCTAAAAGAACCCTAAAATTTTCAAGTTAACTTATTTTTATTTTATCATACTTTTTATTATATAAGGATTTTTTAAAATATTCTCACATACTAGGTGTCGATGATCGTTTTATTACACATTTTTATTACAGCTATCAGGGGTTCTTTTAAAACAAGTTGTATACATTATTCAAAAGGGGCGTATTTAGCAACTAATAATAAATATATAAACAGTTTTTGATCAAGTAAATATTATTTAAAATTATATTTAATAAATTAATTTTAATATAATTTCATCCAAAACGAAAATAAAGGTATCAGAAGTATAAAGTTAAACAAAAAATCATCTAAATGTAAATTTTATTTTAAGAGACTTTCTCTAAGTTTTCTGTACATTAGTTTTATTTATAGACAATATTTCTTAAATCTTCATTTTCAATGCTTTTGCTGCCGCAAGTTCGTTAATTATTTTGCTGTTATCGTCACAAACGATAAAAAAATATAAAATATTTGTTTCACTATATAAAGAATGGCAATTATAAATACTGACAAACCTAACTCTTGACTAAATAACTATAGAGATATAAGATACATGCATAATGTATGTTCCAGAGTTTTCAACTACTTAAATTCTAATTTAAAGTGTTTTCTTTAAGTATGGCACATATGTATACAAACATTTTTTAAAATTGGAACTTTATCTATTATTCTTAACTTAATACTTCAATTTAATTCTATGTAAAAGATTGGAGTGTGCAATCTTTTGTATTTGTTTTTTAATATTTTAGAACGAAAAGTAGATCATATCACAATCGTTTGCATAGAAGAGAAGCAAGTCCTAATATTGTAGTGCACAGAAGAGAAGCAAGACCTGATATTTTAGTGCAAAAGGTTATGAAATTTAAGTTTTTTTAAATATTTTGTAGCTCGTTATCTGTTTTATTCAACATTTTATATAAAACAAATTCATTTTATATACATAATAAATTCAATTTAATAGTTTTAAAAAGTTAAAAATTGTGTGTATATATTTTTAACAAGTTTTTAAACACGAAACATTTCTTCAACAAGATAAAAATAACTTTTAGAAAAGCATTGCTGCACTTTATAGTTATGATAAACTTCCATCAAGTTTTAAGCATATAAGTAGAACAAGTCGATCACAGATTTTTTGGAACTTTAAGTGGAACACTAATTGATTTTTTTATCAATAAGTGTTCCACTTATTGATAAAATAAGTTTGATAGAGATTGTTGATTTTTTTTTAAGAAATTGTTGATTTTTTATTTTGTTATGATATTTATTTCAATAAACGCAATAAAAGTTTTCCAATAATTTTTTTATTCGGTTTTTTATTAATTTTTTTTTTTGTAATATCTTTTCAATACGCAAAATAACTACTACGCCTGATGTCTAAAATCAAAAAGTCTGTATCTGCAGTGGGCATCCTAGAAAATCAAAAAGTCTGTATCTGCAGCGGGCATCCTGGAAAATCAAAAAGTCTGTATCTGCAGCGGGCATCCTGGGAAATCAAAAAGTCTGTATCTGCAGCGGGCATCCTGGGAAATAAGACTGAGCTTAAGGATTCATTACTTTTTAATGATAAATTTAATGATATTAAGGTTTAATAAAAGTATAACAAACTATATGATAAAGTAAAGTTTTATTATTTTAATTTTATATTCTTGTTTACATTAATGCATAAAGTATTCAAAAATAAGTTAAAGTGTGATTAAACTAAATATATTTTATAATTCTTTAAAGTCTGCCGATTTAAACATGTAAGTGGGAATTTAGTTTTAGCATTCCTAAAATAATTTTGAATGAAATTTTGTCAAAATGTGACAAATACTAGGGACTTTTTCTCAAAAGTTATTTTCTTATTCTATTTAGTAATTATTAGTCTATTTAGTTCCTGTTTGGTGGTTAAAATTTCTTCATATTGCTAATATTAAGGAAAAACCGTTTCCGCAACTCTAAATTAAGATAAAAATCTTAAATAAAATCTAAATTAAGACGTTATTTAGTACTTACAGATTTTAATATAGCATATTTATTTCTGGAAAACATTAAAACAACTGTTTTTTTGTTTATTAACATCTTAAAACATTTTAATGATTTTTTTTAATGATGTTGCTTAGGGTCTTTCATAAATAATATCATGTTAGGAAGGAGGAGTAGGGGTAGGGGTAGATATTTTTGTGACGCAACATATTTTTTTTTTTATTTTTATTTTAAAATACTATAGAAGACTAATTAAAATAGTATTTGAACAAAGTTCAACCTTTTAGTTGATTTATCGACATATTGATTGTAAAATCAACTGCGCCAAAACTAATAACCCCTGTAATAGCCTTTGTGCAGCGCACGTTCTGCATTTTATATCGCCGAAAATTTATATGGTCCAAGTGGATAAAGAAACTACCCTTACTAACAAAAATAAAATTTCGACAAAAATAGACAATCTTGAACTCTTAGATTATTAGCCTGAAGCCGAATCCACACGGGCATGCTAATAGTAATAATAGTTTGAAAATTTTGTTTATAAGATATACTTTTTTCATTTATTATATTTGAAGATAAGCAATTTAAAAATGAGACCATGATAAAAAAAAAGCGATGTTATTTTATACAATTTTACACGGAACTATTAAGGTGAAAAAAATACATTAAACAGACTAAATAATTAACACAAAGAAGCTAAGAA